AAAGTTACAGATGTTCGTAACAAAAATCAGAAATAAACCCGAAATTAAAGATATTAAATTTCATAAATTTGTCCATTTTCACGAAGCTTTTCCTGCATTACGAAAATACATTCCTTTCATGCATTTTTCTTCATCCGTGCTTATTTATCTATTCGTAATGAAAATTAATGGCCAAGAGATTTTTATTTTGGAATAATGAAAAAATAAGAACTTGAATGCTCGGTCTCGACAATTTAAAGAGATATTCAGGCATAATAAAGTTACTTCTCCACAGTAAACATTAAGGAATGCCAAGCAAAATATGGCTCAAATCAACCAAATTACAGTGGAGACATAAATTTCCTTAAAATATTTCGAAGTAAAGTAACATTATGTGATATTTAAAAGCAATTTGAAAATTACGACTATTGTTATAGATGGTAGGAAATTATAGTTGTCATATATAATAGAACAAAAATAGATTAATATATTGATTTAATGAAACAGCAATGTTTGATAAAATTGGTAAAATTAGAAATAATAATTTAAAAAAAAAAAAAAAAAAAAAAAAAAAAAAAAAAATATAGCCCAAGAATATATCGATTAAAAACTAAATGCAGATGACCAATTTTTGTTATCATAAAAATCAAGTTTTTACGCAACATTTTATTGCGCGTTATTGAATCACAGGATAGTCGTTTAGAAAATCTTTCAAAATCGTTAATCAATTTGATGGGAAATAATCATTAAAAAAAGGTTTTTACCAACAAGAACGGAGTCATTAAGGTATTAAAGGGATTTAGAAGTTGTGTATCTGCTATAGACAAACTAGAACAAAGCTTACTTTTATCGGCTATTTGATATTACTGTAAAAATTTATGATAAATTAAATAATTTTTATAAACGCCTTGATTCCTTTATAAGAAAATATTAATTTTTCTAGGAAACAGTATATCCAATAAAAACAACAGAAGTGACGATCGTTTTACCAAGTATCATCGTCGACAATCTTTCTTAAATTGTGAAACGCTGTCTTCATTAGTCTACAAAACTTTATAAAGAAAAGAATTTAGAGAAAATATAATCCTTTATAATCGTTGAGAGAGAGAGAGAGAGAGAGAGAGACAGAGAAATAATTAATAAAAGAGAAAGGGCATTAAGAAGAGAAATCATAAAAGGGTGCAAATATAAAGAATATAAGAGACGATATAGTAGCATTGGACAATAGTACCTTGAGAAGATGTACATGTAGTAATATAGAAAGCAAAGGTAAATTTTATAATCGGTGGTAAGTCAGGGATAAAGACAAAATAAAAAAGTAAAATAAATGAACACGTGTAAATAGTCCTGTGCAGATTCAATGACAAAAGTTAAGTAAAACTGAAAGAGACTCTAAAAGCAGAATCGAACGATTATATGTCAGTAAAACAATAGAATATATAAGTTTTGCTAACCATACGGCAAAGTTAGTTTACAGAAAAATCAATAATAAAAAATTATACAAATGAAGATGAAAGATAAAGCAAAGCATATGGACTATACAAAAGAACTTTAGAATTTACATATATATTTAGTGACAACTGGAGGAAAAGAGAACCGTAATAATATAATAAGAGATGTATTTCGTTTGAAGAAGGCAAATAATGGAAAATTAAAATTGGATGAAATATTATTGATCTAATTTTTAATTCTGATTCATATCGTGTAGATATTTATTAATAAATAAATATTATATATATATATATATATATATATGACTGTCCATATGGAATATATAAAGAATAAATATAATACACATAGTCAACAAATCATAAAAATCATAGAATTTAATGTTCCTTTAACGAATCGAAATAAACTATTTACAGAATATTGGAACTAGATTTGTCAAATAATGTACATGAGCTTTGTGTAGCTTAAACAAAAGATTAATGAATTTAAAGATGCTTATTTTTGAATTTTATGAAATTACTATGTTCCTTATACCTCCTTATACTTAATCTTCTAATAAGGATAATGGAAAAATATTAAGGTAATTAAGCAAAGTATATTCTCGGCATTTATTTAGAAAAATTTTGTTCTGCAAAATTCTCTGCATTTTATTTATTTATTTTTTTTTTTTTAAATTATAGCTGAACATAACAAACATGAAGAGTATATATGATTTCATAAATATATGGAAAATACTTTCATAGTAGAAAATCTATACAAAACATAAAGAAACGCGCGCGGTAGTAACCAAAAAAAAAAAAAAAAAAAAAAAAAAAAAAAACCAAAAAGTCAATATCTATATAGCATGTATTAAAATACATAAAAATGCAGTTAAATAATTCAATTAAAGTAACTCGCCTCGATGTAACTTTCCATGGAAAGTATTTTACTAAACAATTTTAAAAGACAAATTAAAAAGACTACTCGTTAAGAAGAAATAATTTGGATTTTATATATCTAGCTGAACTACAGTCTGTTTGAAGATATTTATAGATGCAAGTTTTATGCTTCGGAAGCCATTAAGATCGAACATTTGCTTCATTACATATATGCGCACATATAAGATGCTTCCGAGTTGTTGTATGTATGAGTCATGAACAATCATGGGTTCGCTCAGTTTATAATCAGAATATTAAGTTATGACTGAATTTTATCAAGAAGTATGAAAATTTCCTAAGACAAAGCAATCAGACGTGTTATTGGATGAATGTTGTTTGTAACAATAATTTTATACGATAACGAGTCTTCGGGAGATTGTACGGAAAGGATGAAAAGTCGTGGACTTTAAGCGTTTCATGATAATTTAGAAAAAATTAATAAGTTAAGAAAAAAATAGATAATTACTGGGAATAGAAAATATAAAACGAACGCACTCAAAGGCTTTATCAAAAAGTTGATTGAGGCAAAATTCATGCTCAAATTGACTTTCAAATAATACTAGAAAAATATGAAAATGTTGATACGAAAGATAATAAAATAAAGAATGTAACAAAAAATTAAACACAATATTCGAGCTTTCAAACAATTATTATGTGACCTAAATGACAAAAGAACAAAAAAAAATGGTTGAAAGATAATGTATATATATATTATTTATAATGTCTACTAACAGAGTAAAATATAAAGTCTAAAATATAAAATATAAAAAAATTTATGTTGTCACTAAGGATGAATGATTGATCTTTTTACATTGTATAAAGGAAGAGAAAAATTTTGTTTATAAATATTCAATTGTCTTTTACTATTGTCAAATATAACTAACTCTCTCTCTCTCTCTCTCTCTCTCTCTCTCTCTCTCTATGCTGTAGAAAACGAAAAATATTAACAAATGAAAAATTGAAAGAGTTTCAAGAGAATATCAATAAGAGATTACTAAATATAATATAGTTTTTGAGTAGAATATAATTAATACGAGAATGTGTGTGCGCTTGCTCGCGCGTGTTTTTACCCATGTACACGTAATAATACCCACGAGCACGCACGCACGCGCACACGCGCACGCACGCACGCACGCACGCACGCACACACACACACACACATTAGCATTCAGATAATTGCGTGTTTTTTTTTTTGTATATCTTTGATCCTTCATGAATTACAATGCTTATGCATTTTTGTAATATTTAATATTTTGAAACAAACATGTTTCATTGTTAAAGCTAAATAAGTACGATTTAAATTAAAGCGAATAATATCATTTACAACAATATTCCCATACTCGTCTATATTGCTTAACTTGAAATATATAAAATAATAATAATAATTTAATACGAATTCTCGTAATTAATTAAATTATTGTTGCGCAACTAAAGTATCGTAAATATTTAGGTTTGTAATTTTCGATTTTCCCTTTTCCATTATAAACAGGTAAATATAAAGTACGTATTGTTGTTAATGACTTTTTAAATTTAAATTACGTTGAGTAATTCGCTAAATCGGCTATCATATAGTCGCTACCTCGGAAATACTTCGATATTGGTAAGAATCCCCATTATCATTAGGCATTCTTTATTCACATGTAAAATCGTATCTCGTTGAGTCGTTATATTATTGAACACTTGGATAATAAAGATAAATAGGAATTGGTACAAGTAAATATGTACTGGTAGTCAGAGCAGTAACGCAAAGTAATATAAGGATATAATAAAAATACGATAATTGTATTACTGTAATCTACTCTTCGTACAAACCCCTCAATTGTAAAACTATATTACAAAGAGAAAAAGATGAAATAAATCTAATATCAAATTTTCTCATTGTATCGTAAACAAATTTTTTTTTACTTGTAGTGAATTATGGCACTGGGGTCAAGCCAATTAATTGGTAAGAGCCAATCATTATGAATTGATGAATGACGCCCGTCTCTAACTAGCAATATTATTATTAGATTGAAAAAATACACAATGAGCATAAAAAGTAAATTATAATGCATATATAATAATAAATTAATTCATGCTTAATCGTCAATTTCAATATTACTATATTATTTTTAATCGTTTAAACTACACTCATTTTTTAATGAAAAAATGAGTGAAACTTGTAAAACTGGTGTGTCGCGCTTCTTCCACAAATCAATAAATCAAAGTTAATTGCCTATTAATACGAAGCCCGACTGTATTTCGCACAATTATGCTAAAAATAAATGGAATGGAAATTTTATACTTTCAAGTACAAATAACAACGTCTCCTTTAATTAATGCCGAGGCTTCGTTTTTATAGACGACGCAATGCTAATTGCCGAAAGCGCCATTCTCCATTCTCGCGAATAATACGCGGTGAGGGAGATAGTGATTTTTAAACTCGTGCAGCAGTTAGTTTGACGCTGACAAATAGTGTCGTGGACAGATCGGGGATAGTCGCGTATGCAAAATAAATGCGGCAGGTAGCATAATTGTCGCAGGCATCGTTAAACGCAACATCAATTCATAAGTTATAAAGGAAATAATGAAGTAAGTAAAGGGGCGTTGGGTGTTCGGTGACGTAATAGGAGTGTCGCTCGAACGGGCCCAATGTAAGCCGACATTTAGTCTCACCTGGTTGTTGGCCGCGGGCGCGTACGAGGTGGATCCGGGTTGAACGACGGGGGCGGGCGGGACGGGTACGGGTCCCGAATGGGGCTCGTAATCGTCCCTGCGGCCGTGATAGTAGTGATGGTGGGGCCGCCGCTCGGTGTAATCCCGCGGCTCCTGACGGGGATGGTGCTCGCGGGCCTCCCGGTGCTCGGGCCGATACCTGCCCGGGAGCGGGAGATCCTCTTCCTCGGAGTCGAACATGAGGTGCTCGAGAGCGTGGGCCCGGGCCCGCCGCCGCGGCCCCTCACACCATCCTCCTGGTCGGTCCTCCTCCTCCTCCTCCTCCTCCGAAAGCAGCTCGGGCCCGCGGCCAAGGCGACTCGGGGCCCTCACGAGGACCCGGGCCCCGTAGGTCGGGGCGTCCTGCGGCAGCCGGACGCCCCGGGGCCCCCCCCGTGCCTCCGCCGCATCACATCCGGCCGAGATCCCACCCGGGACCCGCACCACAGCCTCCTCCTGGTAACGAGGCACTACTAGCACCGCGACCACAGTGCCTGGCACACCTCACCCCTCACCCCTCCGTCGGCGCCGCCAACACCACCGTATCCTTCTCCTCCTCGCCAATGCTCGACGCCGATCCTGGGCTCGACGACGACCGCGTTTCACCTGCAACGCAACCATCCAGCCATCAGCCCCCACCCCGTTATCATCTCTCCGACAAGGGAATTTAAGGCTTCGAGTGCCGAAGCTATTCTCATTCTCATAGCCTACTTTCTAATTAGCGCTGATCCCTAGCGCCGGACGCTTCGAGCTTCCGAGGACGTAGCGTCAAGTTCCCTGTACACTCTGCTCGGCGGCTGCCCTTCTTCTCAACGCGCAACCGTTGCTTCGTGCATATTTGTAATTAGCTGGCCGAGTGAACTTGCGCCCGCGCACTTTCAAACGCTTATTAATTTATGCGCATATCGAATAAGTCGACATTGCCTCGAACTTCCTTGGCTAATGGAACGGACGTGGAACGAGCTGGAGCGTATTTGTAATTACGCGGCGAGTGCCGAACGGTCCAACGCTAAACAAATTAACGAACAACTCCAGTCCGAGCCCCCAATCCCCCTCCCCGCCGCGCCCGCGGCGCGCTTCAACAGCAGACACGTGTCACTGGCTTTACATAAATACCCGACGCTCGCGATGCTCGCGAAACCGTAAACGTTCTCCCGCTTATGAATAATAAGAACGACAACGATGACGACGACGACGACGACGACGACGACGACGACGACGACGACGACGACGACGACGACGACGACGACGACGACGACGACGACGACGACGACGACGACGACGACGACGACGACGACGACGACGACGACGACGACGACGACGACGACGACGACGACGACGACAGCAACAACAACAACAACAATTGTAATAATTATTGTAATAATAATTGTAATAATAATTGTAATAATAATAATAATAATAATAGTAGTAATGGCGTTAGACCAGCCGAAGGAATGAACTAGTCCCGTCGGTGAGAAGCGTCCGAATAAAAATGGGCGTGCTTATTTTGGTTAATAAAACGCAAATGCACTGGCGTGGTGGAGCTTCATTATTGATAATAGACTAGTCCGCTTCCTCGGGCAGATCTACTCTTTGTAAAGAGTTTGCGGAAGCATCGAGACGACGCAAAGACCGATATCGTAAGCGACGGCGCTCGATTTAAAGTCGCCTCCTCGCCAGCTTCTCTTCCCCGTCGATGCTCATCGCTATAATCGTCTCTCTATCGACACGCGATCTGTCCGACTCTTTAGCACCGACGAAACGAAGGTGCGAGCATGAGAGCAAAAAAGGGAGGGTAAAGAAGAGTGTGCGTGCGCTTGTGTTGCGTGTGCTTTTGTGTATAATGTACGTCTGTGTTTGTGTTTGTTTATTTAGGTGTGTGTGTGTATGTGTGTGTGTGTGTGTGTGTGTG